TGACTGCAACGAGTAGTTGGGGTGGCTAGGTGGCTATGGCTCCCCACACTTCACCATCACGCCGCATCGAACCCCTATAGGAGGCCATCTCACGTTCTTTCGCATTGTATGACCCTACGTTTGCCGTCAAGCAACACCTTTTCTCTGTCCATCAGTCCAGCAAGTGGCACACATTTGGAATTATCGGTGGTTACCGAGCACATTAAATAAAAGGAACGTGAACCATTATGAATCCGCAAACAGCAGACAGATCTGGTATAGTTTACACTCCTCATTGTACACTGATTCAACCGGACATGTGGTAATGGCAAAATTATTTTGTGTCCTGGCTAACGAATCGCATGCATCTGGATGCCAGCCCCATGAATCAGTGCATGCAAGCGGAAGCCAGCCCCATTGTTGCGGATGACCAATAAAAACCGACCATAGGAAGTAAGGAGAAACGAAGCTGAGTAGTGGCCTGCAATGATTGGGTGTGTAGCATATGGCACTGGTAGACCACGTGATTTGGGACAATGGACGTCGCTGGTGATAGCATCAGCGACCCCGATGGGTCCGAAACCCTTATTTCCGAACAGGAGGATGCAGTTCAGGAAAATGAGGAGGAGACAGTTCAGGGAAATGAAAATGTGTCCGGAACAGATGATGTAGGGCAGAACGTATCTGTTGCAAAGCCCAATCGTGTCTCTTTTTTAATCGNGTGTCCGGAACAGATGATGTAGGGCAGAACGTATCTGTTGCAAAGCCCAATCGTGTCTCTTTTTTAATCGATGGTGACAAACTTGACAATGGCTGCTCATCACTTTCGGATGCGCCTCCCCTTGTTTCTCCCACTACAAATACCACCAGCACAATGTCAGAGTCAGCCTTGCAGCCCAGTGAGCAGGCTGCCGATGAGCATCAGGAAGCGCTGCCAAATATCGATGAAAATGGCAGCACTGAGCCATCTGCTACTGCCCTGGAAGAACAGGCTGACCATGAAAACATTGACACCGAGACAATGGTTGAGCTGCAGCACTCTAAAAGTCTCCCAGAAGCAATCGCTCTTCTATCCAAAACCACCCAAGACCTAGAAGGAAGGGTTAACGTTCTCCTGGCTCAGCACGAAGAAGATTTTTTTGCTGCATTCCGCTCCCACATGGCAAAAGTGCAACAGCATGTGGAACACCTTCAAGCATGTGCTGACGAACAGAAAAACCAACTGGAACGCGATTTAAGGATTAAGACGCTTCAGCAGGAGNTACAGTGATTCCGGGCACCTTGTACATTACCAGGTAGATATGTTGCTGTTGTCATTTTAGTGTCAGCTTATTGGTATCCCTGGAATCTTAACAATTGAACCTGCTATTCCTACATGACCAGGTTTGCAAAAGACTTAGAGGAGACCTTCTTAGTTGGCGCGCTCGAACTGACGCTCTGCGGGAAGATCGCGATTTTCTAGAGGCAGAGCTAAAGAAGGCAAAACGGAAACTAAGGAGTGGTCAATTGCAGGGTCCTCGCAAGCTCTGCGCTTCTCCACAGGTCAAAACTAACGGCCGTCTCCACGCATATCACTTAGCCTTAACATGCTGCTTGAGTCTGTTTTGCGCAACTTGTTGCGGACGGTAGCTCTGTGAGTTGTTCTGAGAAGACTTCGAAGATCTGTTCTAGTCATAACTCAAGCAGACATACACACCTTTATGTTGTTAGGAATGTACTGAGTCGCAAGGCCTGGCTGTCTCTGCGCCAAAAGCGACTGCTCCGCCGGCCATAGTGAAGAAGGAAGCCCTCCCAGTTCACAGTAGTCCTCCTTCCAAAGTAGACCCGCAAACGCCGATCCAAAATTCTTCTGATGATCCAGAAGTGCTAAGGGGGACAATTGAGGCCCTGAAAAGACAAGTTTCCAGTCTGGCCGCAGCAAACCGCCGGCTCCAAAATGAAGCGAAACGAAACTTCCGAATGGAGTAAGTCAGGGAAGAACTGGTTGAGAATCAACTGGGCCTTAATACCGCGTCCAGAACATATTCCATGCATTACTAAGAAGCAACTCTCAAAATACGTAAGCACTTACATATCTTCTCTCTTGGTGGGGTCGTGGGGTCACCTGATCTCGGCAGTCACAGATTGCGCGGTCTCTGTTCAATAGATCGAACCTAGTGGAGGCGTCTAAGGCTCTTTCGAGGCGCCGAGACTTGGAGGCATTTTTTCTGGAATGCATTAATGATGTTAGGAAGGAAANAAGGCTCTTTCGAGGCGCCGAGACTTGGAGGCATTTTTTCTGGAATGCATTAATGATGTTAGGAAGGAAATGAGACTGAGAGGAGCTCCTGCCAGTTCAATGGGTAAGCGCTGCTTATAGGCGCATTCTCCCAGTTGTAAATGCCACTTTTATGCCATTGTCGTCAGAAATAGCTAGTCGAGACACAGCAGAGGATGGATAAGTGGAAAACAGGAACAGGGTGACGTCTCTATAGAACTGCTGCAGGAGACCTTGAGAGGCTTTCCCTTGAAGAGTTTCTAGCATTTGATCGGCGCAGAGTTTTGAATGCCTTTCTGTCAAATGACCAGGTCCTTGTAAGCCATTGTTATGTTTACACATAACGATGAGCGCAGCTTTGTACTCCCTTTTCTTTTCCTAGCAAGGATTTATGGAATGAGGTATACTTGCTGGTTGTCGCTAGAATAAGGAATTTTCCACTGTTCTGGATTTTTTCAGAAAATGTTATACTCTGTTGTATTTCCCCAACAAGGAGCTATAGAATGAAGTATGCGTGATGTAGCATTTCACGTGAAGTCCATCACCCCAAGTTCTTCTACAGTTGTCTCGGGAACGATTCTAAATGACTAAGACCTCATTCTTGCTCGACATGCTACATCCTGTGCTCACGCTTACACCAACCCAAATATACCAGCGT